CAGTGGGAAACTTAAAAGGAATTATTTGGAGTTCTGTACATAGTTCCTCGCCTGCTGCAGCTCTCACAGACCTGGAGGATGGATTAGAGCATTTCTGAGCGTGGGTAGAAAACGTGCTCTCATCTAAGAGCGCATCCGGCTTTCTGTTCCCGTACTCCCTGCCACTACTTTTAACTTCTGACTCTGCAAAAAAGCTTTGACACCTACCTCCCTACCCAAAGGGATTATTTCAGCTCACAGCAGCTTTGACATAATACACTACAATTTCACAATTCCATATTCTTTCCCTGCAAGCTCCACAATACATGACTCATTTATGCATTAGAGTACTCTGCACGCACAGATCGTTATGAGTCTACACAATGTTCTCGCCTGCAAAAGACTCAAGCCCAGGCATTTACTGCTCAACTGCTGCTGCCTGTGACCCAGGCAAAGGAAGGCCAGGGCACTTTCCAGAGCAACCTCCAGGTGACAGGAAGAACACCAGTGTTAAATGTGAGATAAGGGTACAGAAGTTTTCTCAGCACATCAGCCCCACAAGTGACCTTTTGCACTTCACAGCTTGGACTTCTACGACATACTGAAAGTGCAATTCCCCTGCCAGGATCGGGGAGATGTGCATAATTGGCAACAAAACTAGTTAAAGGACCATCATTCAAAAAATGAGCAGGTGAAGATTTTGACAAGAGCTCCAAAGAGGTGTGGGGTGGGCAGCTGTCCCGCACCCCTCACCTGCCGGATTTGGTGATGATCATCTCAGTTCCAATCTGATGAAACTTCATCCAGAGATCCATGTCCTCGAGGGTGACCACGATGGAGCTCTGTGCGTAGGGCTCCAGGCTGGGGGAAGGAAGGGCCTCACACGGCGCTTTCACGTCTAGAGGGAGAGAAGATGGTGACCTCAGGCAGGCAAGAGGGAACCAACCTGGCACAGCCCCTCCTGCCGTGGGACTGGGAACTCTGTGCCACAACAAACCTCTTAAAATCTGTCATTTTTCTTCAAAGGATTTTTGTTACTTAATAGGCTCAGAGCCTTTTCCAACAGGTTTGGTTTTAGCTGGTAGCTCCTCCTGTAAAGATCTGTGTGCTGTACCAACTCAACCTAAATTCCATTGTTACAAAACTCTCACAAGCAGTAGCCACAATCCACCGTTCTGGTATGATCAGGGTTACACAAAACACTTTTACCAAGAAAATACAATGAAAGCTGAAAATATGGTAAAGATGGTGATTGTACCAGTGGATAATGGGGGAAAACAACAGGTAGGTAGCACAAGTGAAAAATCTCTCCAGAAAATGGGAGAGACAGGAGTCCTAAATGTAAGTGAAAGCAAGAAAAGAAGGTCTCAGAGATAGACTGTGGAATATTCTGAAAAGAGGACGGCTGCTCTGAACTGCACTTGGAGATGGGAACCACCAAGGACCCTGTGATGGGAGTGGAAGATGTTCAGTAACACACCCTGGCACATCAGAAGAGCTGCCTGCAATGTAACTGCACTTGGTACTGGAGGCAGAGGACCAACAGTGGTCCTGGGGAAGAGGAAGGGAAACTATTCTGGGGAGGACCATGCTTGGTATTGATGATACCAGCCACCTCTATAGAGCTGTTTGGATGAAAAACCTCTTTTAAAAACCTCCACAGTTGCTCTTAACTATCCTGAGAGGCAGGCATGTTTGCTGCTGCCGTACTGAAAAGCCCAGTCTCGCTTTAGGTTAAACGTGACCTGGGGTGGTGCTGGTGGGCTGATTTCATGCCCAGCAGGGCTTTACTAACACTGCCCTGGGGTCTGACGGAGCAATGGATGTGTTTGCTCGGCAGGGCACCCCCGGCAGCAGTGCTGTCCCCAGCTCAGAGCCAGCAGGACACCTCACCGGGTGATGCATTAGCGGCCAGGCACAGCTATTTGTTTAAAAGGGAGATTTTTCTGCCTCTTAGCCTGATCAGATGTTACTCAGAGCACAGCAGAGAAAAAGGGGAATTTTCACCTTGTTACAGGTTTGCTGAGTAAAGCCTTCAAAAGAATATTCACAAAAGGCAGACAATTATTTCCAGAGAAATTAGCTTTTTTCATAAAGGGACATCTTTCTACCAAAACAACCCAATGTGAGTCTAAGGGCTTCTTCCTTCAGTACAAAGAAATAAAAAACATTTAAATGTAATTCTGTCACTTTGTAAAGGTCTTCAGGCATTTAAAAAAAAAAAAATTTCCTGCTTTGATCCAACATTAATGAACTGGCCAAGAAGTGACACCTAGCTTGGTCACTAAGATTAGCCTGTTAACATCTTCTTACTAAAGCTTCCCCCATATCCTCTTGCAAAGACATGAAAGCTGCCATGAGACGATGCATTCGGTGGCTCAGTGCAGCACATGTATCAAAAGGAGTTACAATAAAATTGGGCTGATTTCCCACAGGAGCCATCCAGTCACAAATACATGCAAACAGATTTTGATTAGCTAGACAGATGCTCGCTCCTTCCCCAAATGAATTTGAGAATTAACATTTCTGTAAGCAAATTCCAGTGCCATTAAATGGCACAACAAGGCAGATCTCAGGAGTCCTTACTGAGGGGAGACTTCCTATGAAGTGGAGAGGAACTGAAGTGAAAAAGTTCAACAGAGAATTAAAAATCAAAGGCAGATGTTATAATCTGTTTTTTACCTAAATGAGTCCACAACGCACCTGTAGGAGCGCGATGCTGCAGGAGGCAGGGACAGTAAACGCTGCAGCAAAGATTTTAAGATGTGGTTAATGCCTTTCACGGTGCAGGTTTTGTGTGCACAGTCTGAGGCTGAAAAACAGAACGTTAACAGGATCTGCACGAGGATCTGGACCCCAGCAATGGTGTGAGCCTGGCAACGGATCCACACAGCCAACTACGCAGCCGTGCGCTGTCAGCTCCAGTGGGAACCTGCAGCCGTGGATCCATTTGTAGGATCCACTTTGGATTTTGTTTGCAGAGCCAAAGGCTCTTCCAATTCTTGCTCTTGCAAGGCACTTCCAATTCCCTCCTAGCTTGTGCCTGTGGAACCAATGCCAAGACTCCGGCACACAACCCCTGCAAAGCTGCCTGCGCGTTGGAATTACAGCACAGTGAGGTCTGGGCAGGGTGTCCAAGCACTAAATGGAACTTGTTAGACCTGTACTTCTATGATTTCCTCTTCTATGTAACTTAGTTTTTTGAGTATTATTTGAAAGAGATTTAAACATTTTCCAAGAATTCTAATTCTAAGCTGTTTAAAAAGCATTATGATTATCGTCGTTTCGGTAGAACAGCATGTGGCACATTTTAAAACACAATCTTTATGCCCAGATGAGGTTGAAAAAGAAGAAAGATGGGATAATAAAGGCACTGAAAATTAAGGTATCTTCAATCTGTGCTTGGTTTGAAAGTCCTTGTATCAACAGGAGCAGCTTGTCCTACAGTTTCTGTACCTAGAATAAGCTGTACAGAACTTTTTCCCATCTTGGGGACAGAAAGAAAGAGAAATGAGAGACAATTCAGTAATTCTTGAAGGGGGAGGAAGAATTTTGGATAGGAGATGCTGGAGTACAATTCCCTCACCTAAAGCCATCCTTCAATTCATTGTCAGTTGCAGAGACAATGTTATGACACCAGAAAATCTGTTGTAGCCTTTCCAAAATGTATGGGATAGGGTTTGCAATACAGGGAAAAGTCCAACAAGGCAAATTACATGCTTCTTACCTTCCTAAAACCAGTTATTGTTACATTTATTGCTGTTATCTTCCAAGTGAAGAAGTCCAACATTAACAGCTATCCCGTGTCCACAGGAAGGAATGCACGCCAATATATAAGGCTTTTTAAGAAATTAATCTTGCCAACAATCAAAAAAATCCCCAAGTTTTCTGATCTTCTAAATGTCTACCAGTGCAATGGCTTCACCTCTCAGATGCACCCAGCCATCACCTGGAATATTTCTGCCACAGGAGGTCTTACACCAGAAGCAACTCAGTAAGAAAATGAGGTGACTTCTGCAATAGTTGGAATCTTCACATGATGAAATACCATAATACAGCCTACATTTTTTCATTGTTGCCCTTTCATTTTTCAACCCAAAATTCTTTAGAAGTGGCAGAAATCAATATGAATCAGATCATCACAGCAGGGACTGCAAAAACCCCAAGCAGCAGGATGGTGGAAATTAACTGAGTCACTGCCCAGGTATTTTACTTGTGAATGAGACAACACCTTGCAGAGGAAGAAAAAGGAAGCTGAGAGTGCCCAACCACTTCTAATGTGTATTATGAACTGCACACCTAAAACAGGTAAGTAGCTGTTTCCTTCTGATGTACAGTAAAACCCCAGAGTAAAAGTTACACTGACAAATGCAATGCCTCTGGGCTGGCCCTTACTTTCCCAGTGCTTATCTGCCATTGTGCCCAATCCAATCATGCCCCACACAGCAGAGATAAACAGCATGTTATGGGATGGGTTGATGAAGGAAAAAATAACGAAAACCTAAGGAGGTGTCCTATGCCTGCTTGTGGTTTATACTTTCAAAGGTAGAGGGGGAAAAAAAAAAAAAAAAAGGGAAAAACCAAATAGTTGGTATCAGAACTATTATTAGAAGTAGAACAAATATTTCCAAACATTCCCTGGCCTTCAATCCGAAGAGCTCAGTACTTTGCAGACAATACACAAATAACACCTCCAGCCTCCAGCGAAGGATCACATGGCACAAGGGGATGTGGAGAAGGGAGTTTTGGACATATTGTGAGCAAACCTTCGAAAAGATCTCTGAAGGCTCACAAAAACACTCAACACCCACAATTTATCATCAACTCCTAAGAAAAAAAACAGTTTATAAATCCTGTCCAGCCCCAGGCACACTACTTTAAATGCTGGTAGTCCTTCAGAACACTTGTTCCCTTTCTGGCATAAGTCTAGGATTTTTCCACCCAATAAGGAAAGGGAGAGAGCCTTTCCCTTACCTGGTAAAGCTTGCATTTTTCCATGTACTGTGACGTCTAGGAGCTTGCAGGGCCAAAGAGAGCCACCTGAATTCTTGTAAGGGGAACCAAAATAGTCCAGTTCAAAAGCAGGTCTGATTTCCTGAAGCGAGCACAAGCCCTTCCTTCTGAGATCCAGTGTCAAGAGTGAGCGGGATGAGGATGGGACTCCAAGCACAGCTAGCCAAGGTGAGTTCCTGTTTTATGGAGGCTAATGAGCAGGGAGGAGCTTCCCACCAGGGCTGTCCCCTTGCGATCCTTTGATGTCCAAAGGGACAAAGAGAGGAAGGATCTGCAGCAATGGCTTGGGCTAAGGGAAGAAAATCAAAGAGAATTAACATGGCTTTGACATACAGGAAACCCGACGGGGGAAATGCACCTTGATTTACTGCTAACGCACTTTTAAACAAATAGGGACAAGACCGAAAACATCAGTTGAGGACTTAGCTACAAAATCAAAACAAATCCCTTTAAACAGCAAGCAGGCAAAGTTTCCTTTTGACTGTTCCACGGATTTGTGGTAATTCTCATCATCAGCGCACAGACTCATTTTACTCTTGATTTGTGGTATCAGAATAGGGCTGCATCGAGCCTGTCTCTTCCCAAGTGGGTGATAAACAGTCTGCACCGAAGTTTGCTCTCACAACACATCCCTTCACCCACAGATCCTTCTCCAACGATGTAAACACACTCGATGATAACAACGTTACTTACCTGCCCAGTATCTGCATTCCCAGCCCTGAACTGCACCCTTAACTTTTTTGGGGGTAGCTCAGGCACTGGGTTTAGGCCTTGCTCAAGGTACTGCTCTTACCCAGGGAAGGCTGAGCAGAAACAAGGGCTTGAGCATTTTCCCTTAATTAGTTTATTCTGCAAGTGTGACCATTAGCTTTTGTGCTTATAAGTGCTTACAAGTGCTAAGAGACTGCAATCAAGGCTCAGGCTTCAGGGCACAACACAGCCCCTGCACCTCGGTGAAGAAGGGGGTTCTGTGCATTCACAGAAATGGCTGTGCTAACATTGACAGGACCAACATGGTCAGAAAGTGGAGGTCAAAAGCAGGATCTCAGTCTCGATGGGCCAGTGCTGGGTCCTGCACAGCAAATTTGGGAGCTCTGTTCATTTCACAGATAAGGCTGCATTTGATTCACTGTCTAGATTTACTCCAAGCAAAATAAACATTTTTCTGTTTTGTCAGTGATGTTACTGTGACATTCGATCTTCAGTCTGACATGCAAAACATATTCTGAATTTGTTTAGTGAGTTCCTACACCCAAACAACATTCCTTGAGTTCTGTTCTTACTGCCTATTGGAGCAAGCAGTGTAAAGACATGCAATGAGGACAAAAGCTTAGTCAGAGGAGGGACTGGCTCTCTTTCAGTGTAATATTGAATTTTAGGCATCCCAGCATTAGTCAGGGAGAGAAAAGCTAGTGCTTAGCGTGGCAAGGAAGAACGTTTAAAAGAAAAGGGTTGGAGAGTTTGAGAAGTCCTGAGGAGGATTTTATAGCAGAAGATGGTCCATTGGCTCCTGGCACCCCTGAAGGACCACATCCAACCTTCCTGACATCCCTTCTAAGCCACTGGATCATACAGAAGACCACAGGCTCTTCTCCTTCAGCTAATTTGAAGACATCCAGAGTTGTGGAGTCTTGCTACCACTGAGGAGAGGTCTTCATGTGGTGGAGAAACATCAACTTGTACCTCAAAGGAGATTATTTATTACATACGTGGAAAAATAAATCAGAAGGGAAAAGGTCAGCTGAAAATGGCATCAAGGTCAAACCTCTGCTTGTACTTGTACAGCCACTTGTACCAGATACAAACCAAATAGGATGCAGAAATGCCTTTCTACTCTGCCACAGAAGAAAAGACAACATCAAATCAGCTCCCTCTCCCTGTCCTGCTTTTCTGATACTAGTATTTTAATTGTAGAAAGTGGAAAAGACAACCATAATCAGAATCTGAAAAAGAAAAATAGAACAAAAATTGGGTCAGATTCAAGCTAGCAGCGAGATGAATCAACATCCCACACAGTCAGAAACTGCACAACAGCAGCAGCAGCACTGGGAATTTCAGACTTCACCTGACAAGAGCGTGGGATGTGTATCATGACTTTCTGCTTCTTCCACAAAGGGTATGAGATGGTCTCCTGCTGCCACTTCATTTGCACGCTGCGTATCAGCATGTCTGGGGAACACACATTTGCTATAAGTACTCAAATCCTTTTGGCTTCTCCCAGCTGATTGATGGGGAAGGTGGAGTCATTAATTACCCATGACTAGTTAACAACCAGCTTTCTCCCAGCCGTTCTAAGTTGCACTGGAAAGGTTTTACAAGTGGAAAGAAAAAAAAAAAACACCAAAAAGCACCACCAACCAATTGGTTACTATTGGTGGAAAGTGGCTAACAGGAGGCAATCCCCAGGAAATTCATCCCTAGCAAAGAGGGAATTTAGCACATTACCCTTGTCTGTCTGTCCATGGAGAGCCCTCGGGCAGTTTGCCGGGAAGTCAGAGGTGAATGTGCTGGTGTCTAACAATTCCCTGGCAAACTGCAGGCTGAGGGTGCGGAAAGGGCCAGGAGAGAGAGTGGATCTGACGTGTAAGTCGGTGACATCCACAGCTCTGCTCCAAGCTCATTTACAGCAGCAGGTATAAATCCTGCTGAGCTCAGCTCTAACTGTAGGCTCTGCCCTGTGCCGAAGGGACGAGCTAGGGCAGTGCAGGAGGGAGAGGCAATGTGTGATGACAAAACCAGAGGCCAAGAGCTTTTGCTTTGCATCTCTTTGAGGAGGTGATTAGAATGAAACGTTCCCCTCCGGGTTTTGTAGTAAGGCAAATGTTTTCTGGCATTTCTCCCACCTTAAGGGAAGCTTTAACCCTTAGTGCTCAGCAGGACCTTGTGTGGAGCTGGTTTGCACACAAACAAAGCTGGTTTGGACAGCCTTCCCTGCTGTCCAACACAGTGATCATCTCACCATCTCTGGCTGTTGCCTGGGGCTCTCAGACTGCTGGAGAACAGATAACCAATGTGTCAGCAAGCAGGGGGTTTTGGCTCACAGGGTGGGAGTCTGCAAGTGGATGTGCTCAATGCACCATCACCTCTGCCCAGGCAGAGCTTCCAGGGAATCCTTCTACCCAGAGAGCAAGCTCAAGTGTGAGGCATAAAGCTCGTGCCTGGGGGATGGCTGAAATGCAACAGAATGGCCTTCTGAAAGAACCAGCCTTGGATTACTGCTCGTGTGCATCAGCCCCTGCGTGCAGTAGCCCCTGCAGGTTTCTCTCTGTGCACGTGGCTGTGAGAAAGCATTATCATATCAGCTTTAGCAAACTGGGCTTAAGCAAAGCTGTGTTGAATCCGCACAAGCAAGAAGAAAAACCCACGGAGCAGCACAAACTGCATTTAAGAGATTCTCCCCTCTGAAACATGAGGAAAGCCTTCCTGCCATTTAAATGTGACTCATTACCCGATTCCCACCTGGCACATGTAGACCACAGTGCCAGAGCATCTTGGCAGCTCTTAATAGACAGCCTTGCACCGACTCCTTGTCCTTGTTAGTGCCCAATACTTCATACAGCAAAATAGGAAATACAAGTGCAGGGCTGGCCAGGACAGAGTGGCCGAGCTCTGGCAGCACAGGCACAGCCTAAACTTGGGCAGCTTTATGAGCAAGCCTCTGTGGGCGGCTGCAGGAATGGTAAAGCCCTGTGAAGTGTTTTGAGATCCTCTGAAGAAGTGGTGCATATTATCTGCTATCACGCGGTAGCAAAGGAACAGCTCCTACCCAGCTCCTTAGGACAGCTCACATAACACAACATTTTCTCTGATGGAGCAAAATGGCACCTTTTTCCTCCCCTTTTTATGGTTGGGTTTGCTTTTTCCCGGGAAAAGCTGTCTGCTGTCTTCAGGCATAATTACATGTGCAGTGTCATCCAGACCTTCCTACCCTGGGACCCCGGCAAGGGGCCCCACAGAAGTCACATCTCTGTAGGGCTGAAAACCCCACACTGGGCCCCAAATTGTATCGCCCCCAAATCTTCCCTGTGCTCTCAAAAATGACATTTGGCAAACCAAAACAGTTGGTTGGAGAGGGCCTGTTGGTAACATCTCGATGTTAATTCACCACAGGGTCCCTGGACAGAGGCACAGAGAGCTGCTGGGATGGGTCACAGGCTGAGACAGGATCTGCTCTGGAAGGGAACGTGGGAAAGCGGCTCATAAAAATGAAAAGCTGTACATTTCAAGTTTAAGACGAGGCTTTTCCTCTTGCAGGTTTGTGGATTGCGGTCCCTTGGCCGCAAAGCTGTGCTCCCCCACTAAAGAAAAAGAGGATGCTCCCCTGTCTCCCCTTTCTCACATCCGCCCTCTCCAGCCCTCTCAATACTCCCCCTGCTCCCAGCAGTTCGTTAGCATGGAGACAAGAAGGGAAATACTTAGCAGCCACTTAACACTGCAGGCTGAGTTTGGCCTCAAAGGCTACAGTCCAGAGTCAAATGCAAAATATGTCTGTCTAGAGCCCTTTCAAGTTCTCACAGACTCCTGATGTTAGGTGCACTGTTTTCCTGTCAAGCCATTGTGTTTCCCAGACACAGCTCAGCACTCTGTCCCACTCAAATCCACAAAAAATACGTACTGAAGGGACTTGAAGCAGCAAGGAGAGCTCTGCGCCACAGCACGGGAAAGGACAGTGCAAGCGCTGCCTTTCCTCCCCTGCACTGGGAAGGCTCCTTCCCCTCGCACTGGGCACTCAGCAGCCCTGCCTGAACTCACTGGTCTCCACTGGGAGCCATAAAGGAGCTGTCTGAGAAGATAGACAGCAAGTAACTCCGGCTTAACATCCAGCCATAAATACTTCTATATTTATACACATGCACACGCTCATCTGCGAAGAGAAGCATCATGCAGAGCTCAAAAATTGCTGGCAGTTTACTTAATCATGAATTGAGACCAGACAAAAACCCTGAGCAGAATGGATTCTGCTGAGCAGAAGCCCAACAGACAATGCTGCAGCAATCTCCATTCAAAAGCTGATGTTTCCAGAAAGAAAAAAAAAAAAAAAAAAAAAAAAAAAAAAAAAAAAAAAAAAAAAAAAAAAAAAAAAAAAAAAAAAAAAAAAAAAAAAAAAAAAAAAAAAAAAAAAAAAAAAA